GGAGCAGGCTCACTGCCGTGTGCTCTCGGCAAGGGGATCATTCTGGAGAGCCTTTTTTCACATTTCCAGCATTTTCTGCCCCTAATGACCCTGAGCAAGACCAAGTAATTGGACAAAAACGTAGTAATCAATCTTTACCCTCTGGGCTACAATTGCTGCAACAGCTGAAGAGAGAAAAAATTAGATAATGGTTGGTTGAGCTCCTAAAGGTCCCTGAGTACTTAAAGGTTTTCAAGAAGTTAATTTACACACAGAACCTGTTGCATGCGATCTAGATTAACAAAAGAATATGCACCTATATGATTCCATGTGGCTTATATATTCAGCAGCACTACTAGTGTAATAAGCAAAAATAGCCAAATTAGCTCTTCTTGTCCTTTTAGGTATTTTCTTATGTAGCGAAACAAATGGGTGGCATTGTTTAGACCTAAAGCACTTCCAGAAATTTCCTGCCGTAGCTGTCATTTTAGAATTGTTACTACTCTCTTGAGTGGTCTTCTGAATTATCACTTGGATTTTGAAAAACTCCAGGATTATCTTTTAATTCTGTTTTTTCCCCAGATACAGAACCTTACCGATTTGTTTTGTTTCCAATTTCTTCCTTTAAGTTGCCATTAGTAGTTCTAGCTTTATCTTAGGGAAGTTTTAAAATGATATCAACAGATTTTCAATCAAGTTGTGTTTAGAACTGATTATCATGTTGAAAAGATGTAATAAAGGCTTAGGTTACAGTGTGTTTTGTTACATTTATGATAGCTGTGTGTAAAAAACATGTTTGTTTGTTTTGTTTTTTTTTACCATAAATGTGATTGTATTTCTGATATTTTACTTATGATGCCACCCATTTACTGTGAACAAGCACGAGAAAGATTATATGTGAACCAGCATCTCCCCACTCCCAGTGGGTCCCCACACCCGTGCATACGTATACCTCCTCACACATGAAAAAAACACAGAGACTGTACTGGGCTGCAAGACGATACAGAGAGGATGCACATTGAGGAAAAGCTTTTGAAGCACCAGATAACAGGATTACACTAATTACATTTCAGCTGTGACCATGGATCCTGTTTGGATGCAGGAGCTGTTTTCTGCAGCAGCTGTAGAGTTGTGGAGCATTGATTACAAAATGGTGGAATTTTTGTTGAAATGGTGCCTGCATTATTGTCATCTGCCAAGACACTAAAAGCTGTTGGTCAAATGAGTGAGTTTAACTGCATTTATACAGTGTAGTCAACTATAGAAGGTATTTAGGTCCTACAAGTTCAGTATTATTAATACTCTTCATTCTCCAGTCCATGAATGACTCGTACGTGTGTGTGTATATAAATCTGACAGCTGATTTTTAAGATGGAGACAACCCAGGACAGTGTCTTTAGAGGTCCACCAAGTTGTTTACTTTGGTCTCAGACATTTACTGACTTTTGCTCAAATACATAGCGATGCCATGCATTTCCAACTTCTTTAGTTTCCATCAAATTCAAAATGGCTACCTTATTTATAATAAATCCTTTTTAAAAAAATTGTTGAATTGTGGCAGAGTGTTTTTTTTCATGTTTTACACAGTGTCCCAATAGTTTTTGGAATTGGGATTGCAAATGAAAAATTGCAACCTCAACATAAAAGGATTTGCTTATTCAGTCCCACCTGCAATGTTGACTCAGTTATTATTATCAGGGTAAAGCGGTCAGTGGTGAGCACATTGTCGGAGATAAACAGCTGTGATAGCTGAATGAACATCTGGATCACATCTGATTAGTATTTTCACCTGTATTTCTTAAGCATATTCGAACATGCACATAGAGACCCCTCCTGATGACTGTAAGGTGTTAGAGGTGCAAATTCAATTGCATGCTATGAGGAAAATAATGACTTGTCACTAACTAATTCAATGTTGAACAGCTGAATCTGGAATGCTCTACAACTCCAATTTACAACCAGATGGCATATGGAATGAATTTTGTCATCTGCTCACTTACCTGATGGTGGCACAAATGTATTTATTTATTCATATATTTATTTTCCGGTTGAATGGAGAAGCAGTTACAGAGCGCCTTCCCGACCCTGAGGCTCTATCAGCATCTTTTCCGACACCTGTGACGCAAAGGTTTTGGAAAGTCACTGGAAGCAGAAAGGTGTCCAGGAACAAATTGCGAGTTCCTCCAATCTGTGAACCCCTGAAAGAAAAACCTATCGTTCACTCTGCATTATGTTTACACAGCGCTGCAAACTGCTGCAAACAGCACGGCTTCCTCAAATGAAGAGGAATTCAATCAGACTTTACATGTGTTACACTTGCAGTGTCAGCTTTAATTGGATTCGATGTTTATGGCGAGTATTGAGGTTTAGTGGTTTTACTTATTAAATGAAGTGCCCGTGCCTTTTGAACTCTGACTCGTGCTCAATTCAAAGGAAACTCTACGATCCCCTCTAATGGATGTTTTATTGGGATGCTCTGATTTATGTGGTAAAGCTCAAGAATACGTGTTTGTCTTTGTATGTGTGCAAGTCTTATCAGTATTCAACGCTCTTCAGGCAGTGAGTGTCTGGTTTCTGGGCTTCTCTAATCTGGACCCAGTAGTAACTGATCCAGCTTTGGTACTTCTTGGAATAGCCTGTTTGTGCGTGTGTTTGTGTGTACATGGTGTGAGCTGACTTGAATAATTTGTCAAGAAAACAAAAATTAATCTAACCAACAATTTAGTCTCAAAGTGCTTGCAGAGCATCACGTAAACAGGAGATAAAAACAAATGTCTGCGTGTCGGAGTGAAGGATGTCGCCATGACGACAGTCACTCCATTTCAGTTTTGTCCTTTGCGATATAAGTAGCTTTTCTGGCATTGATTATGAAAAAAAAAGTTGAGTCATCTGAATCTGTGATCGCATTAGATGGAGTACAGTTTTGATGAATAGTTGTAAGAGGAGTGTGTCGGCTGCCACCCCAATTTGTCTCCACAAAAATGGAAGGGAGTGACAGAAACATGGTTTGTGCCAGTATAGTTGTTTACATCACAGCTTGTGGACCAAGTGTAGTCTTCTTCTAGTCATCTCAGTGAAAGGTTTTTCTGGACCATTGTACAATCCAAATGCTGCAGATTCTTGCAAATTATATGTAAACCTAACCTTATTGCGCTTCCTGCATTGAATTCTCTCCATTGTTTGTATACGTTATGCATCCGAATGAAATAAAAACTGAATATACAGAAAAAGTTCAAATAAAAAAAAGTCTGTTTGGTACAAAAATCCAAAAAGGTTAAACAAACTCCATCCCAAGTTTACTCTGCAAAACTTTGCTGTTGTCAACTTTATTTAATATTTTGTTTCTACAAAAAAGCTGACAATAAAATCAACCAAAAAAGATTAATATTACATGTATTTGGAAGTGCTACAGAGTTTTTGTTGTTCGTATGTGTGGAAAAACCCATGAAAAACTCAACATTACGACAAAATAAGTACAGATGAGGTCTGAAAAAACCAACATCTATGACAAGCTAGTGACAGGCCATGTGACCTGTGACAGTGTGGAACCAATGGTGCATGGTGTCAGAGGGGGGTCTGAGAGAAGACCATGTTTTTTAGCATCTCAGTTTTTGTAATATTACACATCCCTCTTTTTATGTGCAAGTAAGTGAGGTTAAATTAAATGATTCAAGAAATGCCAAGTGAGTCAGAGAAGATTGAAGCAGCTCCTCATCTCTGCTTGTAATTCAGCAGCACCTCATATTTACCATAAACCCAACATGGTTTAGCTATAGGGATGATGTTTTATTTATGTGCTACTGTGTAGGTATTGCAGTCAATTACAGGTCTCCAGCCCTGACTGTAGGTGGCTGAGATGGTCGGTACCACTTACTCTGGGCTTCTATTTCGATAATGGAAGCACACAGGCCATCTTCCACAGTATGTTGGAGCTCTTATGAAAACACTCACAAGCACATAGTCTGTTCAAATATGAAACAGAAGGTATGTGATGTGATGGTCCAGTAAACTCCAACACATTTCTCAGTACGGTGCCTGGTTCATTCGTTTTTTTCCCCCCATTGTGTTTCCCTCTTTATTTACTTCCACAAACGTCCCTTTAGCCCCCGCCCTTATCTGGGCTGGAACATGTTTTTAACGCCAGCAGATTTTACTCCACCTGGACAAGCCTCACACTGCAGACTACCATAAAGCCCCAATCAACTGGACTCCTTGATCTTAAATCACTTTTACTGCCTCTGTCCTGTGATGCTGCGTGTGTGTGTGTGTGTGTCCTTTAGTGTGGATGACAGAAACATTGCTCAACAATATGGATTTTGTTTTATTAGAGCTCTTTGATTTGTTCAGCAATTGCACCTCCCATCTTTAAACTGTGACTGTCTTTTTTCTCCCTCTCCTTTTAGTTCACTCCTAGTTATTATTGTAGCCTTTTCAAGGGGAATGATCTTAAGGAGGGGTTTGCCAATCTGAGAGATTTTTCTGTACACTCGCTGCCACCTTGTGGAGAGCAACAGTTTAGGGGTGCTCAACATTTATGTGTCCTTTCCATCTTCCCTGCATCCTATCCTCCCACACTTCCTTGTCTTTTCTGCAGATATGTTCATACAGCGTTGACTATCAGGCGGTGTGATTGCTCTCCACTGAACCCATTTGACTCCAGTCCGTCCATACAACCTTCAAACACTCCTCTGATGTAAGCTTGTCCATCACACCGTCCTGCCTATGTACTCTATTTGCCAGTCAGTTAATGTAATGTCCTCTTTTATCTGCTTTCAGGTGTTAAGCAACGTTGCTGAACGTGAGTATGTCCACATGAACATTCTCGACCAGGAAACATAATAAAAATGTAGTTCTAAGTCGGAACCTTCTTTCTATTTTGACTTTTCTATTTTTCCACTTTCACAGTTAATGTGCATTCATACAAATCAAGCTATTACTAAAGTCCATCATCTGCTGAGCAGTAAGATACTGTTGTTGTCACCTCCTGTTCCCATGTCAGAGTTTGATGGAGAGCTGGTCGAATGACAGCGGGAACTGTTGTCATAACTGGAGGAATACTGGCCACAGTGATACTTCTGTGTATCATAGCCGTGCTCTGCTATTGTAGACTCCAGGTATGACTTCACCAAACGCATCTGACGAGCAGACGTGCACATCATTTGTTACTGCTTTCAATTATTAGATTCGATCTTGGCTGAAGGAAGATTCATTAGCAGGATCCCTGATGGGAGTGTGGAGGCAGTAGAGAATACGAAGGAAACAGGCAAAGGAAATGGAGGGAATAAGGACATACGTGGAACAAAATACTAACCAGGAAAACAAAGGTTGTCAGGGACAGGAAAGCTTGACTCAGAAGACCTGGTAAAATGCAAAGATCGAAAGATTCAATTTAAAACAGAAAAGGGAAACTGAAAGTATGCATGTATCAAATGCACAAGCATACATGGAAATGACTAAAAGCTGATACCACAAATTATTGGTCTCAAAGCATAATAGATTACTGTTCAAATGTATTTTTGACAGTATAACATACATGTGTCTTCTGTATGAGAAACTGATTTCCCCTCAGCTAAGTTTTTGGGGGAAAAAATATGCTTTTCAATTACTTTTTCGTAATTTATCATTGTGTATTAGTATCATTGTTGTGTCACTTTATACTGTACGTGCTCAGTAAGTGAGCTAAGACAGCCCCAACTGAGTGTTTGACATAGAACAGGAACAAAATACAGAGACAAACGCTTATGTGATTCTGCATTTCCGATAAACAATGAAATCCCCTAAGAGCTGCATGTCTGAGCTTTTTAACCACATAAAACATTTCATTACTGAACCACTTCCTCACCATCGTTCATCGGCGCCCCCCTACATGTACAGAAGTTAGCCTCCCTCCTTAGAATGTATTTCCTATAAAAAAGACAAATAACAAAGAGGCAGAAGGAGGGATGGACTTCCCTCATTTGCACTCATTTGTCTTCTCCTGGGTCGATAGCTGTTTTTCACAACTCGGGTGTTTGTCAGGCCCCCCTCTGTTCAGTTCATTCCAAATGCTGCAGCTGGACTCGTAACTGGGTCAAAAAGGTGTGAGCATGCACTCTCCTTTGTTGACCTGCCTGGCCTATAACCCCGTTATATTTCACACTAACTTTAAAATGTTACAGGTCATCTTTGAGGCCTGAAATAGCCTTGCACTGAAAAAGATTTCAGACTTAATTACCTGGTGGGTGACCTCCTGGCCTTTGAGATTCATGGTGCCCTATTCCCAGACGTTAGTTTGAGACTAAACCGTTTTCCTTCAGAAGTCCCCATCCGTGAAGCTCTATTTTCAGTCACATTAGGTTTTAGCCACCCTCAAATCGCTCCTTAAAAACTTAAAAGCTTTTGGCAACGTCTGGTGCATTTAGCAAACACTGTGTTATTGTGCTGTTGTGAACATCCATCGAGCCAAATCAGCACTCCTTGATAACTCATCCCTTCTGAGAAAGTACTTTTACACTCTAAAAGAAAGATCAACAAAAATGATTTATTTATAATTAATATAATAAAATGTAATACATTCCGTATTTAGTTTTAATTGGTTATTTTGACCAAATAACTGGGGCATGGTACAATTGTTACTATATTGCCCCTCGTGATGGTAGAGGCATATTTCAGTGTCCAGAATATTTCTCAACAAGATGAAAAGATCATACTACTGCCGTCCAATCCAGTCGGCTGCACTCTGTAATCCTAATGCCATCCTAAGAGCTTGAATAAGGGCTACCAGACTTATTCTTGGATAATGGAGACATTTTACCTATCTGAGCTAAAGTAGTTGGTGAGAAGCATCTATTACAACAACATTCATTGTATCAAAATCCTTTTTTAGATCTTGATCATTTCACCAAGCATTTGTGAAGAAACAAAACACAGATTGTCATCATTATTGTCAACATCAATGGTTGTCATCAGTATTGCTACAAAACAAATTAATTATATTTCAATGATCAGGTTATTATAAAATGTATGTTCTTTGTTGTTTTTTAATATCATGAACGTCTTTCAAACTAAGTCTCTTTCTTTGTAGTACTATTGCTGTAAGAAGAATGGCTCTGACAGTGGCTCCATCTCTCAGCAACACTTTGCCTGCAACGCCTGCAGTCTCTCTGGCCTGGACGGGCCGATCATCACTCCGCTGTCTCTGTCGCCTCCAGAGCCGCCCAAATCCTCCAATCCCACCAAGCCCGCCGCCGCCAGCCGCCGGAGCTACTGCCCCAGCTGCTCGCCTTATGACTCGCCCTTCTACATCCACACGGCGGATGAGATGCGCAACGGCGGCGAGCGCGTCAGCTACATGCCCACGCACTACGACAACCAGGCGCTGGCCATGCCGCTGCCTGCCGTCCGAGGCCCCCCGCTGAGAGACTCTCAGCGGGGCCGGCCCCCTGATTTCTACACCAACACCCGGGCCATCAGCACCGAGGTGTGACCGCCACACACTCAGCCATCCCAGCGCCACCACTAACACAACCCCAGAAATCATTTAGACTCTTACTGCAGCCGCTGGTGGGTCTGTGGAGGCGACGCCATCACATCTATTGACAACATGGGGGTTCTGAGGGGAAATAACAAAATCATCTCAGCCAGATCCTGTTGATCAAACCGAATGGGGAAAAAAAAAAAGTCTTTGAAACAATTCCTCATATTAAATATAAGATTTCTATGCTCACAAAAGTGATGATTATTGTGTGATTGATGGTAGATAAACTGTGTCTGTGAGAAAAATATCCTTTTTTGCTCCCGACTGTTTGCTGTGTGTTTAACAATTGAGGGCTGTCTAAGATCAACGTAATGTTTTGTGCTACACAACTTCAACTGCTGCTTTCTTCTAGTCAAGGTGACCAGAAGAGGAAGTCAAACATTTTTTAAAAGGGTAAAGAAGGAAAAGTCAACGTCCCTTTTTGGATCTGTGGAAATATGGAGAGCAGAAAATGTATGGGAGAAGGGATAAAACTATGTTCTTATTTTAAAGCTAAACGTTCAGAAAACTACAGCTCTTCTTTTCTTGCAGTCTCCCTTCACCAGTTTTGATCCCTTGTGCTATATTTTGGGGGATACTGTAGATAGTATATTAAAAGAGAACCATGGACGCAAGGGATCCGTTTCATTTGGAAACTTGTATTGAGGCAGCAGAGCCTCAGCCCATAAATGCAACTGTGGTGCGCTTAAAATGACCTGGATTTGTTTTCTTAACTGACACTGATGCAAAAATGTGTACATATAAGCAAGAAAACATTCTCTCGTTCCCAATTTGTTCTTTTTTGAGATTGATGTGGGTGGGGGGATCTGAATACCTTTACTGAGGGTGAGTGATTTACTGGTTTGTGCTATTTGTCTATACACTCCCCATTTACTACAGTACTACTCTTATATTGAATATTTAAAATGCAAATACCCATGTTGTTTCTTTTTTATATTGTAAGAAATTCTGTGAAATTCTCGGAAAAGCTTTTACACAGTTTTCATTTTCTTACCCACATTGCTTACCATTTTAAATGAGGCCTCTGATGAACTTGGTCTCCATATTTCTGTGTACATGACTAAGGAGTAGATGGTGGCTGAATAGGCAATGCAAGAGACCTTCTGAACTTGCATGATGTGATATAGTTTGAGAATTTTAAGACATACCTGTTGTTTATATTCAAGCTTTTACACTAAAACACTTTTACTTTAGCTCTTTTCAGCAGTGCATAGAAGAAATAATCATCAGCTTAACATTAAATAAATTCTAAATGCAACAACGTTACTCTGCACTTTTTTGTTTGTTTATCTTTAAATTAGTTTTTTTAAATTATGAAATGTGTAAAGACAACTTGACATTAAAAGTGGTTTGTTTTGGATGAACTAACAAAAGTGAATACATTTATTGAAAACTGTGAAAAGAAACATTTATCACCAAAATTCATAAGCTATAACATGGGCTAGATTCTGAAAATAACTGATATTTCTCTATGTCGCTGCCCACTCTATTGTCATTTACTTATTCAGGCATTGTACTAGTTGCCTATTTTACTACTTACTTAAGCACTTATCTTGAAACATGGAAGAAAAAAGATTTTTAAAAAGTGTTAAACGGGTTAAAAGAAATTGTTCATGATAGCTAAAGAAACAGTAACAACTGATGGTGTTAACTTTTGAAAATTAAAGATTTGTAACTGCTTGAATGGACTTTTTGCTTGATTATTGAGTGAGTGCATGTGGACTCCAGCAGATTTCAAAATGTTCAGTCTCATGTTTAACAAAAAATCTTAAAAAAACATAAGTAAAGTTTTCTGTAATGGAGACATTTTGTACCCTGAGAGCAACATGAAGTCTCTATTCAAGTAATGACTATCATGAGGTAAGCAGCAACCACTACCAAATGGTGAAATTAATGAGTTAAACAAAGCATTCAGTTAGACCGGAGGTTCCCTAACAGCAGACCAGTGGTTCTCCATCACAAGACGAATATGGTTCACGCTTCTGCCTTAACTTCTTTTTTTCTTATTAATCATTGACAGTGACAAGAGAAGGTGCCAAAAAGGAGGAATTTGAATTTACAGAAATAAAGAGTCAGTGAACTGTTTTTCTGGGAATGCCTTCAGACATCGGACCTGAAGTGACATGTTTGCGATTGTCCTTGCATACAACACAATTTCCGGTTGTGGTCCTGTTGTGTGTTTTCATTAAATGTACCCCTTCAGGGTATCCTGATCCTTTTCTTTTAGGCACACAACACTGCATATTATTTTGATCCTGGCAGAAAAACTGACGCAGGAGCATGTACAGCTGACAAACATGCAAACGTGGAAATGGGATTTTTACATGAATCAGATGGTCTGCTTGACAATTTCACAATTACACACTTGTCCCTATGGCGTTCTTCATACAATAACATTGTTAGCTGTTTTCTGATCCCTTCAAAACTCTATTCTGTCTATGTCTTTGTTTTACATTTAAGATCAAAATTAGTGATTCCTTTGACCCTTTTCATGAGAACATCTCTGTGATGAAATGTTATCTTTACCTGTCACAGTTGCTCTTTCACTTTTCATCATGCCTGCTCACTTGGCATATACATTACATATCAGCCTTTTCAAATAACTCTGTGTAAATCCAATGCTGTAGTTGCTCAAGGAACAGCTCATTCTAGTTTATTATTTTTTTTCCTGTAGAAATCATGATCATGGATCATCGTTTTTTTTCCATATTTTCGCCATATTTATCCATGTTCTGCACAGTCTTTTTTTTAAATCGGATCCTGAAAATATATAGCTGGTTAATAACACATAGTAATTTGGCTTTCAGCAATATTTTTCTATAAAATCATTTTCAACAATATATAAAATGTTTTTAAATGATACTGTTCGTAAGAAAATGTATTTAACCGTGCCCTTTTTTAAGTTTATCAAGAGGGAAGAAACTCTTAAAAGCAGTAATTTCTCAGTAATTAATGTTTTAGGAACAGACCAGTACCGCGCATGCGTGTGACATAACTAACGTTTCATACCGGAAGACGTACAGCTGAACTCCTGAGTGATTCATCTTTTTAAATACACACGATCTTCGTTGCAACTTCTGACACACAGTAAGCAAGTCTTTAACGCCCCAAACAAGTAAGTTGACAGCTTTGTTAACGACACCTATGTCGCCCTCAGAGTCTCGTCTGCATGCTGTGACACATCAAGATTGTTTTCCTGCTTCATTCTCGGGATTTTCCCTCAGGAACCGGGCGGGGTGTTGCTGAGATAGCTCGCTCCACGAAATAGTGGTTCAACTGTTTTGGACTTCGAGCTAGTTAGCGTTAGCCAAACTTAGCTCCAGCTCGCATAGGCTTTCATACTCACAGGTACTTCCTGCTCCCCCCCTCATTCACCTGTTCTGACAGATTACCTCTCGTCTATAGGTCAGCCTGTGACAAATGTTTATTGTTAGAACCGTTGCGAGACGAAAGCTTTGCTGACTGTTGTAAATAAGTTAGCTTGACGTTAGCTTAATTGCTGCCTTTCGCTGTGTTTGTCTTAAGTTAGCTGCTGTGAGGTGAATCTGGACGCTTTTCGGATGCCCTGCTTTATGTGTGCCAGGCGTCTACGAAGACGTGACTGGCAAAGGGATGGTATCCTGAAAATATTTGCCAAACTATCGTAAAAAATACAAGCTGCGCCGGAAAGCTTGGCCGTTAATGATGCTACGAGACCGTAATGTGCTCCATCCGAGGGGAGCAGCGACACGTTTGCCTGCAGTCATTTTACAGGATGAGACACAGAATAATCCACTGACAGCAGTCTGAGGGGTTAACTGTAGATATAACAGTTTAGTTTTCGGGACAGTCCACTTTGAATAGGCCATTGTCGGCTGGCTTTCCACGCACAGGTGGGTTATTTGACTGAGGAGCTTACACATGTGTAATACCCACTGCACTCCGGCTCCATCCCACTGTTATTAGGATCCATTACACCGTGGATGAGCTCCAGGTTTGCTGTCTGGATGAGCTCATCACTGCAGGCTGTGTCTTGCTGTTCAGCTGGAGGAGGAACTTTCCAAATCACAAATGATACATTATACGTAAAAAAAGAAAAAGGAAAAATAAGCTTTGGCTTTGCCTAGTTTTTCTTTCTTTTACAAGACCCTTTTTCACTGTATAATTTGCTATATAATGTTTGCTCATGCAATGGTTTCTTGGTTTAATCATACAAAAATTAAGAGATGATTTTATTTTATGGTTGGAAATTAGAATGCAAAAAACTGGAGTGCCTTATTGAATAATTGTTTAAAGTTAGATTAACTCCAGACAGAAAGGGCAGGGTCACTGAGCTCCAAAGAAGGGCAGAGGCGGTTTTAGTCTCCTGTTGGTTGAAGCTGTGGTTTACCGAGTTGCATCAGTGAACTTGGCGGGGCTGTACTGAAAAACTGAAGGATATTGTGGTGCTTTTTAGTTGCTTGCATCACTAACCACTGATGGAGAACAAGGGGTCACTACATCCCGACGTGGATTTTGAATATCATTCTGATCTGTTGTTGCATTTCCTAGTTGTATATTTTAACTCCTATTTTTTTATGTCTGTGGTGTGAATCACCATTTGCCTAAATTAGTTCAACGTGAATTTATGGAAGGAGTCGAGATGTTTAGCGAAACAGATTAAAATTCAGTCATACTGGTAGTACTTGAAGGTCAGAAAACTTTTGTATACAGTAGTATCAACAACTGATTACGCAGTAAGCAGGGATACTAGTCTGATGTACGCCGGTTCCCTCTGACCCGATGTCTGTAATGTAGATATACTTATTTGGCAAACAGGTCATCTAGATAGATGGTCATTTGTTTTTGACTATAATGACTGTTGCGTGACTGCAGACCTAACAGGAAGTGGGTCAATCGACAGGTAAAACTTTTGCAGTAGCACTGTTGTGTTCAGGAAGAAGCTTCAGGAGCTTTCTTTTGGTCCCATAAAATTTCAGGAATTTTAAGCCTTTTGTTGTGTGGGGCATATCCATCTTTATTTTAGGAGCATTTGTGCTTGCTGCATGGTTTTGCATGATGGGGTTTGTAGGAACATAGATGTCGACAGCACAGGGAAACGCACTCTCATTCCTGTCAATGCTGGTCACACCCTAGTCTTTCAAAGAAGTCGCACATTGAGACACTTAATACCCCTTTGTCTCAAAATGCTGGCGTAAAGCCTGTGAAATGTACTAGAAATTGATCGTCTTTTCAAATATGGTGTACACTAGGCAAGACGAGACAAAAAAATCAGAAAGTTGACAAGACAAAAGACCTGTCGACTTCCATAAGAAAACTTGCCGATTTTTTGCCTTTAAAAATAGTCAAATCAAAGCTTGTTTCACCTCAGCTTTGTGACTGTTTAAAACAGATTAAATTGGTCTTCTGTGTTGTGTGGGAAGGTCTGTTTAGTGCAGCCTGCAATCTTTCTGTGAAAGAGAGGCCGGAAAAAAGCAGTCAGCCTGTTGGCCTGCATTGGCATTTTTTTTTCTCTTTCTGAGGTCAGCAGAGTCATAAAACAGGATAAGTTAGTTTTAGCCTCATGTGTTAGTCCAGCTGCCAATATTATGAACAACTCCAACAGATACTTCCACTTTCACTAAAAGAACAAAAAGTGATAGTAAAAAATGTTTGCCCTCACTCTCCTCTTGTGAAATGCCAGAAACACCTTCTCTTGACTCTCGCTGGGTCATGCAAGAAATGACGTTACTCAGGTTTTGCTTTATGGTCTTGGAAAGTATGGCCGAGGAGATTGGTTTATAAAAACACAGGCACACTTGCAGACGTTACACTCCTGTTTTGCCTAGCTCCGGTGGGTGCCGTACTTCAGTCACCAGCCCCCTTTTTTTCCCCTTATTCAGCTGGTTGCTGGCAAGGCAGGCAGCAGGATCTGTGCTGGATGGAGTGGCTGATGAAGCCTGACTGCAAAGTTTGTCCTCTTTTTGTAGTTTGAGTAAAGGCCAGTGGGGATGAGACTGCCTGGTCCAATAAGAGTGACAGCAGTTAGAAGAAATGATGTAATAAAGATTAAATTATTTGTTTCTAAGTGCTTATAGCATTACGAAAGCATGTTTTCTTCTTTTTCTTTTAAAGAGATGTGACGGCATGCATGTTTAGTTCAGCCCTTTTGTATAATAGAGATTGCGTTGCATTGCCATTGTGCTTCAGTGTTTTAGTGCAGAGGAGACAGTGTTTTGATATTGATAACTTATTGATAACTAAGCGTTTAGATTTCAAATGCTTATGGTCCACTTTCTGGATGTGTTATAAGCCTCATTGCAGCTTCTTCCATGAGTTGACCAGTGGGAAAGTTTCCCTTCTTACTTGCTGTGGTCTGTATAATTCAATAAGTGTGAATGGAGCACAGGACACTGCTTCTTTTCTCATGTTTTTGTGCTAAAGATAAGTGTATGAATGTAGTCTGCCCAGTTAAAGCGTGTCTGAATGCCTTCTGTGTGCATAATCATGTCACTGTGTGTGAATGAATGGACCTTTCATGCAATTAGTCTGGTAGATGTGTTTTGTGTGCCCCTCCTCATAAGTGCCACACACCACAGCTGTTGTGTTGCTGGAAAAAATGCATTTCATAATAAACAAGTGTGGGAATAGGACTGCTGGTATTGGACATAAAAATGAGGATAGATGCATCTGTGAGTCCAAGAAACTGAAAATAAGATCCGAATTTATACAGGGTTTACTTATTTTTCTTTGTCAATGATGCCTGGTTTATTTCTTCCTGCTGCAGCTTGATGGGGTCTAGACATGTTTGTTTTTAATGGTTTGAGCAACTGAACCAGCAGGATATTACAAGTTGGAGTTGGTGGACTAGTAAAGATGTACACATGTCTTCAGGTCTGTCTTTGTGCTGTGAGTACATTCATCTTAACGCGTTTCAGACAAACCAAGCTCCTTTTTTATTGGCCGATTGTTGGAAACCCACAAACAAATTCAAACTCTTTTTCCATGTGCTCTGAATAGAAATGTGTGTACTAACCTTTTGATATTATTCTGGAAGTGTATCATAAGTGCAATGTAACATTCTTTCTGTGACTTTATATGACATATTTATATGACATGTCCGAGATAGTAATTATCAGATTAAAGTACCTCTACTGTCTTTATTCTCTGATAATTACCAACTCGGTTCAGAAGAACACCAGAAAAGCCCCTGGATCACCTGGTGTTTGTGTCTCTGTTTGTGGTGCTTGCAGGCTGCCTACGGTGCCGTGCAGACAGGAGGGAAGGGAGAAGCTCTGTCCTGGTCTCCCTTGCCAGCCCTGAGTAAACCTGCAAGCCATGGATGACAGCTCCTCACTGGGCAAAGTCAGCAGCTCTACAGAGTCCGTGGCCACCGTCACCAGCGAGGAGTTTGTTCTGGTACAGTCCAGCTCTGCCGGCTCACCGCACGGCTCTGAGGGAAAACCAAGACTCAAGGTGAGAGCCAGACGTGCATCTTTGCATCTGTTTGAGTCATGCCAATACACACCAACACCTCTCCTACATGTTTATCCCTTTTCTCCCAATTTTCTGTCATCTTTCTCTCAGATGTCTTTGAATGGTAGTGACCAGCTGGAAAAGGCTATGGAGGAGATATTAAATGATGAAGATGAAGAAGTGAAGGTAGAGAAGAGCTGTGTGGAAAAGATGGAGAAGCACAGGGAGCCGGAGAGCAAAATCTTAAGGACAGAGTCTGCAGGTATGAGTTTCAGAGAACTTCAAAAAGACATATGTCTTAACATGGTGTTGAAAATGCGTGAGCACTGCTTAAAGACAATATTTAATAACAGACTTGAGTATCTTGACAAAAATCTATGATACACAAAAATCGAGTTTTGCCAAAGTAGATCTGCAGAGCTGGTGTGAGGACTCTTTGACATTAACTCCCCTGTTTTGTGTAACAGCATGTTAGCACAGAAGGTTCAACAAACAACAGCAAAACCAACATTTGGATAGGGGTCCATGAACAGCAGTTCAGCAGCAGTCAAAGCCATGAAATCCTCATCAACGCATACAATATTATACTTTTTTTTTCCTTAAAATTTGTTGTTGATTCAGCTTTTGCATTTAAATGTTTGCATTTATATTTATGATTTATTAAAGACCACAAAATAAGCTTACCACATTGACAATGTTCTGCAAAATATTCTGACTCCTTTCCAATTTATTAAGTTCCATAAAGCAATTATAAGTTAGTTGCAAATTACTATAACATTGCAAGTCATAAGGTTTAATATTCCAATTTATACTTCAAAGCAATATTTCAGGATGACCTGGTTAATCATAAATAATTAATCCATCCATCCATCCATCCATTTTTGTAACCGCTTATTCACTAATGGGGTCGCGGGGTAAATAATTAATGTCTTAATATATTACATCTCAAAATGTCTGGGAAGGAGGCTATCACATACCAGAAAAAGCCAGTGGAAATCACAAACAACTAACAGTCAGAACCAAACAAACAAAAATAATAAAAAGCTGGTAAAACAAATTGCAATAAATTGATTTGCATTAAGATACAAACCAGCTGCTTGGCCAGTGACTCAGAGAAACATACAAACTGATAAAGGTCAGATTTGTTTTGGGGACTGCTGTGGAGCTCCTTGAACTGCAGGATGTTGCCAAAACTATCCCACATAATGGGCGACAACATGTGTTCAGTCAGAGGTTTCTTCAGCTCGTCTGAAACAAAGAACATTCAGGTCATTCCTGCTTGGCTAATAACTGCTTTGATCCCTTTGTCTGCCAAACGATGTTCAGTATTATCGTTTAGAAGGAAGTGGAATATATGCTACTTATGTAGAATCCGTTTTTCATATTAACTCACTGGACCAAAGGCTAAGGACACACTGGACAGGTTAATAGCCCAGCACAAAGACTAAAAATCTTGTTCTCTCACACTCACTTAATTTAGAATCTTCATGCTGTGACAGGAAGTGAGACTACCTGAGGAAACCCAAATTTGAATCTAGCTTTCTGTTTGTAGAGTGACAGTGCTCAAACCTACACCACAGAAACTGCTATGAAAGACCATGTTCATGCAATGTGCGTGACAACTTAAACAACTTGAGCCAGGTGTTGAACATCAGTTGGTGTCTTTGTCAAAAAATTTAACATAGATGAAAAATGGATGTGAGGCCCTGACTGAGAGGACAGGAAGTGCGTGAAGTATCAGCTAATGCATTTTTGGATGACTTCTTCTGAAATGAAACAAAGAAGTTTACCATATGGGACGGGAGCATACGTATCTGTCTCTGTTGGTGATTATTTGAGTTAGCGATGTTTTACAGAATGAAAGGTATTGCTCTACAATCTACAAGAGGTCAAGGTATGTCATGTCCTTTGTAGAGGAGAATGTTATTATTATTCTTCAATATTAGTATAGAAAAAAAACATTTACTTGCAAAATGACTGACTTTAATGTACTGTATTTGATCATTTATTTAATAATTGTTTTTAGTTTTCCACATATTTAATAATTGTTTTTAGTTTTCCACATATATTTATTGATTTGAAAGTTACATTCTACTCTTCTTACTCTTTTGCCTCTCCATTGCTGTTGACGTTGAAATGCCACTCTGCTGCATAGCGGCAGAGTGAACTAAGAGGAAATGGTTCAAATGGGGTTGAAAAAAGAGATTCTACCAACAGTGGAAGTCGAGCTGCTTCTTTCTTTGTTCTGCTTCCTGTTATCAAATTTTAAAGTCACAGCTCAGTTCAGAGAGAAAACCCACCAAGTTCCCATGTGTCACCACATCTTACCTTCTCCTTATCGTGACGACTTTTTAGTATTTTATAAAAAAAGTGATTGCTGTTTTTTTGGATGCTCTGTTATTTCCTATTCATAACTTTTGGTATTGGGTACAAGTTTAGAAAAAAAGAACAATGCAGAAAATGTTCAAATATCCTCTGTGGAAGAAGAGTCAACAAATGTTCTGAAAACTTTTTCCGTTTGTTTACAGAAGCATCCCGGGAACCATGCAGTCCCACTGTCCTGGAGGAAGACAGTGTGCAGTTTAATAAGCTATCATACCTGGGCTGCACCTGGGTCAAAGCCCCTCGCAACGAGGCCGAGGCGCAGAGAGCTATGGCTACCTTACGAGCTGAGAGTGCCATCCCCATTCCCATCACCCTGCATGTTCCCTGTGGTCCAGATGGCTCTGTCAGGTAAGACAAAAAGACTGTAAGGGGGAGAGGGACAGACTGCTCACATGAAATACAACAGTTGTATTTGAAAGCGAACAGTGGATCTGTTTAGTATCTAGTTTTAAACTGCACACTAGGAGTACAAAAAAAACACAGCAAAGTAGCGGGTTAGTAAGTTTTGGAAGTAATTGAAAAGAAGATTAGCACATAATATGGCAACAAAAACCAAACTTTTATAGAACTGCTCTTATTGTGTGGTGAATCACCTGATCTGAATGTTTGAATTTTTAAAACTGTAAACCCATTAAATTGAATGAGGCTACAAATAAAATGAACGTAGATTATTTTAGATACAACATAGAGGAAATTAGATATATGACTAAACTAAAATATTTTCTGCTCTGATGTGACATGAGGAGACGTGACTTTAATTTAATGACATGTATTTAGGGTTACATTTGCTTCATGAAGCTATTGAAATGTCATGAACCTAATGCAGCTGTGAAAAGTAACTCTAAATCTCTCTCTTATTAGAGTTGTGGATCAAGCCACAGGCACTGAGATCGCCTCCTTCCCTATCTACAAGGTGTTGTTCTGTGCTCGTGGGCGAGAGGGCTCGGTGGAAAGTGACTGTTTCTCCTTCACTGAGAGTTACAGAAGTTCAGAGGATTTCCAGATTCATGTTTTCTCCTGTCAAATCAAAGAAGCTGTGAGTTTTGCACATTTATTTAATCCACATCACTAGCAGCTCACCCTACTTCTTCCGTTCACTGCAGACATCTCTGCCAACATTTAGACATGTACAACATATGGATACAAGTTGGCTTCAAAGTTTAGTTGAAGTGTGGCTGTGTTTTTTTTTTTTTTATCCAGTTGACAACTTATACATTTTCCCTACCTAGAAACATCCTTCAAAAGCAACAAAATGTAAACAAATTTTCCAGCTATCATGATGTCACAGTTTGAAGTTTATATTTATTCACTGAATATTTTGCTGACAGCAGCTTGCCTCGTGGCCTTTAAACAGTAACCCACGCAGCTGTCCTTCTGAACTGCCCCTGTTATCTAGCCTATAAACATGTGAACACCTTCTCCTGCCACTTCACATACAGACAATGAGCTTAAAGCTGGCCGCTTTAAATGGCTGAAAGAAGATTTTGCATTCCAAATATTCCTGCCTAAATGAAAACGGTAAACTAAAGGTGTAAAAAAAAAAAAGTGAATTTTTTTTAAACCACAAACTGATAATGAACTGAACTGCTGTGCAGATAGGAGTTAAACCTGGGATGACACCACAGGACCACAAAGACTTCACTTCTAGAGTGCATTCAGATGAAAGATATTTGTATGGTCTAATGAATGTACATTTGGAAATATTTGTGCGTCCTGTAGAATGATGCAAACATTAGCGGTAAAAGCTGATTAAGTTGAACTAACATTAGAGAACCAGCTGAGGGTGCTGTTGTCCTCCCATAAATATACTTTTGATTTCCCTATTTCCGTCCCGTTCATGTATTACGGTGTTATATGCTTTTTACAATCTTCTCTTAAAATGTTGTTCTCAAATGCCATTTCTTGTTGCAAAGATCATGTCGCAGAGGGGTTTATTTCTCTCTCCTGTCTCCTCGTTTTATTTTTCTTCAGGTCAGTCGTATCCTGTACAGTTTCTCCACAGCCTTTCGACGTTCTTCGCGGCCATCAGACAGCAGAGACTCCACACAGTGCAATCCATCCGACAGTGATCTCTACACTTTCACTGTCTCTTTGGAGATAAGAGAAGATGATGGTAAAGGCAACTTCAGGTACTTGGCCCCAAGACACAGTCGAACGAAACAAACGCATCTCCAGACACTCTCCCCCCTCCTTATCAGCACGGGACTTTCAGTCCGACAAATCCTCTGGCAGTCATAAAAGATTTAATGTGATCCTGTTGTATTCTCTTATCTGGCTGAGATTATTCACCCATAAAGACTATAAAGTTTATCAGCTCTGTGACATGGCTTCCATTTCCACAAGCTACTGTAAAGAAGATACTTTTGAATAGATTTTTCCTGATCTGTTTTCTGTTGAAATACAATTAGTTGCAATGAAAGTACATTGAATACCACATATATTGAAGACCTGAAGGAGAGAGACATGTTGGACTCTTAACAAACAAAAATATACGCCTAAAGACTTAACGTAAGACATAAGACTTTGATGATTATCTTTAAAAAAGAGGAAATATAACATTAGTATGGTCAGAATAATGCTGTCACTATGTGATCCTCCAATATGGACATATTAAAGTATCAGGAATGACTTTTACCAGCGTATAATGCTCCCTATCTACAGCCCAGTGCCCAAGGACAGAGATAAGTTCTACTTCAAGCTACGGCAGAGTGTCCAGAAGAAGGTCGTGGTTTCAGTTCAACAAATGTGCAACAAGGAGCTGGGCATTGAGAGGTGAGCAATCATTTATTTATACTTATCTCAAAGTCCTTTAATAGGGCATTTCATATATCACATAAAGTAAACTCATGGCCTCAGATGAGTCAGACAACACGTGTCAATGCTTACGTGTTTATTGTGCACATTAATGTATGAATGAAGGTCTTATTCTTCTTAGCTGTCCTATTGTTTGAGCATCTGTTTTCTTGCACGAGCACCCTGCGTCCTATAGGTAGTGTAAATGTTGGTATAATAGCAAAATACTGGCATGGATCTATACAAAGCAGAAAAAAGTGAGCATTTGATCACCTTAATGCTGCCTCCCTTAACATGTTTATATGCTTGGGAAAAACTGGGTCATTTCTCCCTTTTCATCCTCACACCTCTGTTCATATCAGGGGGAGACAGGTGCCTGTTCAGAATGGATTACTATGATGTGCTGAGCTCATGTTTTACATCACTTAATTGATATTCATTGTCAATAGCCGTGGCCTTTGTATTTTATTCCTTTGATATCCTCACTGGTTTTGCATCATATATTGTCTGTGGATGCAGTACATGACAATGTCATATTATTATGAATAAATATTAAGCTGTCGTAATATGACCTGATGGTTCTTTTGATTTATTTGTATTTTTGTAAAAAATTGATTTGTTTTGGCACCTCTTAATTTGCTGCGGCTCCATTTTATTCCTGTGGCAATGCTTAACTTTTCTATACGATTAAATGCATCAACATAAGGCGTGCTGCTCTGTCTGTTTCTTTATTTCAACCCGCCACTGTCCTTCATCTCCCAGCAAACACGTCTTCTGAATGCAGACTGTGGTTTTGTGTTGGAAGCAGTGGTTATTGATTTGTGGATTGTACCTTGTGTGTCTCCCCTCAAGGTGTTTTGGGATGCTGCTGAGTCCTGGGCAGAAAGTCTGCAACAGTGATATGCATCTTCTAGACATGGTGAGACTCAACTGAACCGACTTGTTTGAGAACGTATTAGTTTGTAAGCCACTTCTGACTAGTCCTTTTGTAATGAGAAAGTTAGGGTTAGAATTGAGTTCAGTCATGTTGCGTATTTCGTTTCACCATGTAAGTGTTGTTGGAGGAAAATAAGCAACTGATTAACTAATTCACAGGAATCGATGGGCAAGAGTTCTGATGGAAAGGCGTATGTCATCACAGGAATATGGAACCCCAACATGGCAGCCTTCCAGCCACTGAATGAAGACACTCCTAAAGGTGTGGGAACTTGTTCTGAATGAGATCATAAAGTCAGACGGTTAAGGTTCGCTGCTTTAGTTGTAAGAGCTTTACTAAAATTGAAAAGCTGAATTAAAGGAGAACATTTAGTAACATGGTGTGACATTTAAGACAGAATTGTTGCGTGTTACACATTTGGGATGAAAATTTGTAGTGCACTCAGCAAACTCACAGGTTAAAGGTGTTGTTTAATCATTGTGTGCTGTGGCAGAGATGATTTGTATTTCAAAGGGAAGTATCTGCATATGATCTCACCGGTTTGATCAGAGTGGTCCATGGAGGGCTCGCATGCAAAGGTTTTGCCTCTCCAAACTCATTGTGGATAACAGCGTAGATGCCTGACACGTGCAGGTGCTCGAGTTTCAAAAAGGCTTGACTCAAAAGTGCATGGTCCGTCAAAACAGCCTGCCTCATGCATTTCGAGCTGGATAAGGGCTGGTTAATCTGAACAAACAATTTAGGAAATCTATTGAGCTTCAAAGGTGCTGGAAAATCCGCTGTAAAAGCTGTTACAAATAACTCAGGAGATGTAACTGCTTTTCAACATTTTATTTCGGGTTGTTTCCTTTGGTATAGAATGACAGCACAAATTGAATTTGTGAATATTTTTACATTTTATCAAGCAATCTACACAAAGATATGTAAGCTCAAGGGTCACATTTTTAAGTTGTTTAAGTTGTATTGTTCTTACATGTAATTGGATAATCTGTGTCTGGCTTTTGAGGACCTTTATAAGCTTATTGGGATAATTAGACCTTCCTAAAGTTAAATGCAACCCCCACAGCTCATCTTCCCTTGTTCATGTTTAGCTTATCCTATGGAGGTAATGTTGTAGATTGGTTAACATCTCTTTGTTTAGGTATTTGTTCTAGACATGTTTTGCTGTTATACAATGCTGGTTCATGCTCTCTGGATCCACTAGGGGGCGTGGTATTCATATTGTATAAACTATGAGGTGTGGGTTTTCTGTTCAAGACCTGCAGATGTCAACTAGCAAACCCAAAGTAGACTATAAGTTAATGAAGTATTTCAAACACTGAAGAAAGACTGAAGAAAGACAATGAGAAAGAAGCTGTATTTATAACACATTTTCTTTGTCTTGTTTTCCATATTCCTCTTGGGTTGCTCCAGATAAGCAGGTTTACATGACGGTGGCAGTGGACCTCGTGGTGACGGAAGTGCTGGAGCCTGTTCGCTTCCTGTTGGAATCTCTGGTCAGGGTCTATCCTTCAAACGAACGTTTCTGGTACTTCAGCCGCAAGACCTTCAGTGAGACTTTCTACCTCAAACTCAGACAGGTATCCGTTCCACAATTATTAAAAGCTCTCATGCTTTTCATATACATGTGCCGCTTCAAATGTTTTGTTATAATCGACTGACAACAAGGTGTGCACGACATATGGGCTATAAAATGTTTATGACTGTTAACCAGTGAATTGTTAAGAGTTTATTTTCTCTGTCCTGATCGGGAAAAATGGTGTAGTGTTTAGCTTGAGAAGTTTTAATAACTTTCTTGCAGTAGTTGTGTTAATAAAAGAGTTGGAAGTGATTCAAAGGAAGACCATGAAACAGCTTTTATCAAATGTTTTTCTAGTTAATATTCCTTATGGAGGCTGTGAATTCAAACACTTTCACCCAAAAGCGGCCATCATACTACGTACAGCACATGGAGTCTCAGTGAAGCCTTCTGGCAGAGAAAATGGCCTATGGATATGTAGGTGCCAGCCATATTGTTCAATTTTTTAATTATTTAAATGTGTACAGCCCAGCTCATAACCATTGTTGTGAAATGCTGTACAAAAAGAGCTGTAGATAAAAATGCCTTACCCTTAAGTGTCAACATACAAGACCTTGTGTCTCTCAACCAACGATTTAAAGAAGTTTTGGTTCGCATAACTCCTTGCTAATTTAAATAGTCTCTAATGTGAACTGTACCCCTGCCAGGTTTGCCAGTTTTGACTTAGCTCGCTCACAAATTGTTTGATTAAAAAAGTTAATTAAGAGAGCATTCTCACTCTAACACTGGCACACCAATCCAAGGCAGCTGCTGCAGGTGTTTGAAAACACTGCTAAGCCACAAGCTTTCAACGATAAAAAGCGCATCTTTCATTAGGCCGAGGGGACTGGCGAAGCAGTGGAGTGTGGGAAGCTTTGGATTGTGGCGGCTAATATAAGGCTCTGTCTCATTATTTGCGTGTGGGTAATTAACAGCAGCGCTTTGACTGGTCTGCCTGATTGCCTCTCTAGTTATCTCCTCAGTAAATGGAAGTGTTGGACTGGTGCTGTGGTTCAGAGTTAATTAAAAGATAATATTGTGCGGAGGTTTCTGACGAAGATGGCAATCGGAGGTGGTGCACACATACAGAAAAATATGCAATCCTCTTATTTGGCTAAAAACAGTCATTAGTCATCGAAAGCTCCAAGGACTTATTATGGGAGCCAACATGGAGCATTTTTCCGCCACAGTCTCTTTATCCATACAAATGGTGTCAGTCGCTGCTGTACTTCTAGACAGATCTGCCAATGCTGGAGGCTAAAATCATTTGTTGTTAAATCCAAGTGTATTTCAGCTTTAAGCTCTGTCAAATGTTCAGCACTGTGGAAAGTCTCAGGCCACGCTTTGTACAATAAGCACACTTTAGGAATAGCTCCCTGGCCCCATGAAGGACATTTCAAAGTGATTGTTTGGATGTTGGCTGTCTTTTTGTTCTCTTTCTCTCAAAATAATCCCACACAGCTTCAATAACGTTGAAATCTGTCTGGCTCTCTGAGGAAGATTCATCACTCAAACGAGACCTGTCATTGATTTTCAGTCCAGTTCGCCTGTCATTTGGCATATCTCAGCCTTTTCTCCCTTTTTTTGTTCTTTTGTTGAGGGTGGCCTCTTGACATCCACTTCTCCATAGAGACCATTTCTGTTTTATGATTTGGCAAAAAGTAGATGGATCAGCTGGAGAGCTACATGCATCTCTTTGGCCATGTCTCAGATCTTTTCCAGATTTTTATTCTGGTTCTTAAAGAAATCATCACTGTAGATTTGCTGTATTTCAGGCTTACTACTTAATTTGCCCTCCAGATATCCAGTTTCCTAATTTTTTAAAGCACAATGCAGAGTATTTTGAATAGGTGTTTTCAGCATATGCGTATTTGGAAATTACCATTACGCTACATAATGACTATTTTAAATGCTTGGCATTTTTGCTGAAAACAACTACAGACATGGAAATAAATCATGATTATAAGAAAAAAATGATTTCGTTATGTCTGAATTATTCATAGTTCGGTGCTAACTTTCTCAACAAATCAAGATAATACATTCCTTCTGGCTTGGACAAAATTTTTTAAAGACCTTCAGAGAGTGGATAAAAACAGCTCAAGACCATATGAAATTATTACAAGAAAATCCCCCTCTTTAGAAAAGAGAAATGAGAGGTGGTATAAGCCTTGTGCACCGTCCTCCTAATTAATGTTAGATTTTTCCTGGATAAAAAAACAACAGTTATGATTTCCTACTAGATTAATATTCAGTATTCAGTTGTTGAAAGTGATCTTTTGTTTTTCTTGTTAACAGAAATAAAGCCTATGTTTAAAAATCTGTAGGAGAAGATGGAGGCTGAATTTAAAGGTGAAAAAAGCCTCTCAAAAATGAACTGGTCATACGATAGATTGGCAAAATATCTTATATGTGCATCAGCGCAATTAACAATAAACTCCAAAAATGTCTGTTGGTGTCATTAATTTATTTTGAAAAATCAAACCTGATGTTTTTGTTGCAAACTGATATAGAGACAAAAAATAGTTTGATTACTTTTTTGTTTTGTTTTATGAAATGCCAAGATCTAAGTAATTCGTTCCTATATGCATTATATTTGTATTGTGTTGAAATCATTTTGCAGTCAGAGAGACTCATGGAACATTTTAAGATCCGAAAAAAGAGAAGCTATTTTAACTTTCTCCCATATGATATTTATAACAATCCATTCAATTCTGATTCAGTCCATTACAATCATTTGTGCCGCCAAATGTTACTCATCTTACACAGTAACATTTAACTGAGAGATGTTCATTCTTTGTATATGGTAATCCTGTTTTTTCCTCTTCTGTCTTTTATGTTAAACCCACAGCTGATTATGCCATGTTTGTACAGTGAGCGCAAATTTCTCACTCTTTTGTTAATAATTCATCACGTAGGTTACCCATTCACTGGCAGAGACCATAGCAAAACACATTATGTTACCTAAGCCTAACAAAATAGGCCAAGCTTGATAACTCTGCCAGTTTGAGTTCTCATCCCTGACTTTAGTTAGTCATTAGATGCCATGTGAGTGGGCAGATCAATACAGCTCATTGATCCATTCTTCCAGGTGGAGGAGAGGGGCGACGGCACTAAAGTAATTGAATAGACCAGAAATAAACATCAGTTGCCTATGACACAGAAGGTCAAGTCTGATGGTATCTTCTTCTCTTGTGCATTAGTTCTTAACTATCCTAAAAGGCATTTGATATGTTTCTGAAAACAAATTAAGCTATTTTTGTTGTTCTAAATTTACAAATGAATGTGCTCCGTAGCTTTTTATTATTTAACTCCCCTCAGCTAATGCGCAGATATTTTAGAGACACTAAACTGCCCGTCTGCACTGGCCAAATGACACGTTTAATGAAAGTTCTCTGCGTGTTTGTTGCTTTGGGCTGCACGACTTAAAATCTTTGCTTTCTGAATGTTAGACTGTGAATATATATTTTATATTTATATATTACTAGGAAGTTATTTCAGTAATTTTAGAGTATTGTTCAACTCAATATTACATAGGAAAAGGTCCAGTGCAGATTACCAAAAATGATCTTGTATATTGAAAATGTTTAAAACAAAGAGTAGGCAAGGTTTGTTATACTTTTGTTATCGTTAACATAATTTTTTACTCCCGTCTTATTTGTATATCGATGATAGTAACTCAGATATTTGGCTTAAGTGGATGTTTTGCTGGTCCATACAGTCGCTGTTTGAGGCTGCAACAAACCAGTCTCTCTCCCCTCTCCCTGTCTTGTGAGAATAGAAACAATCGGTTGCCATTAACCCCATTCTCCTTTCCTCACCCCTCCTGTTGGTACCAGGAATCGTGATTTGTGCTGATTGGCAGTTTGCTGTTGCCAATTATTTGATTGTTGATTAAGCCTGTGCTCTAGCCAGCTGTCTCCTGTCAGACAGGGCTCCCTGGTCAGATTTTCTTTTGTTTTTTTAGCTTCTCTCCATATACACTTGTAATATAATGTAATGTATTGATTTGACAAGCCATTTGGGGAATTAAGTCATAATTCCCCACATGAGATAAACCTCCTTAAATAACTCACTAGGTTTGAATTGTGCTTTTGAAGACAAATAAAAAAAAAAAAGTTTTTGTTCAGAAATCTGATCGTTTGTTTGTTTGTTTGTGTACACAGCAGGCACCAGACCGAGTTGCTCAGAGCGATGCTGTGTATGAGGTCGTGAGTCTTCAAAGGGAGGCGGAACGAAAGAATGAAGGCAAAGGACGCCTCAGCTCACCCAATGAGGAAGAGGAGGCTGAGGAAGGTACGTCTTTCTCTCTTTTAAAAAAACAACAACTTTTTTCTTGGTTTTTGCAGAAGATATAGACCCTGAAACTCTGTGCATCAGTTCCAATAAGCCTTGTTCCCATCAGAGCTCCAAACATACATGACATATATTTGATTAAGGGAGCATCCGAAGCTGAATTAAAAAGCAAACTTTCATTCTTTTGCCCTGAAAAAATCTTTTTTTTTTTCCAATTGCTGAAGAGCCAGTTTATTCATTGGGTGCGATTGCATGGCAATCAGTTGATGATTTTTTGGTTGTTGTTCTTTTCTTTTTTTCCACCTGTGTGGCACGAACTCCCATCAATCAGATGAGATTGTATCTCCGAAAAGGGGGGGGGTTATTGTCACACAAATGTTGTATTCTGTCACTCGACTTTGTCACAAACATGTCGTGTTGTCTTCACTGACAGGCATTATCAGCAGTGCAGCTTCATTCTCTAAGGCGTGTAAACACTGGCAAACACGTGCGCTTAGAAATACATGTGTTGTAAATTGTTAGGTTGCGTGTGTGTGTCTGTTACACTGTGCACAGCAGTGAGCTGCAGGCACAGTCTCGGGGGTTTCGAGTAGTCATTTGTGTGATTATGCATGCTTATGGGTGTGTGAGTGTGTCAAGCTGGGCACAGCCCAATCCTGCAAAGTCTTGTTGGCTTACAGCACCACAGCTCTGCAGCGTCAAAAATCATCAAATAGGCACAGCTTTGTGTCTCTTATCATGATGGTGGCTCTATGATTTGAACTCATTTACAAGTGGAAATTTTACCTGTAATAGCAGAGGCTTTTTAAAAAAGGCATGTTGGCAAAACGGCACTAATTTTAACAACCACAGCTAGACTATAGTGGTTCCCCAACATGACCCAGTTTCAGCCCACTAATATAAGCAGGGCTGGCATTTCCACCTCTCCACTGGCTACGCACTGCAGGTGTCTTGTTGCCACGTTTCAGACTGCATATTTCATGACAGTACAGGTTTGGATAAACGTGTTTATTAATGCTTGTATGTAGATGCTTCCATGCATTTCTGCATCTTATCTCCTATTTCCAGTCCAGGATTCTCATTTGAATAGTTTGTTGAATGTTACGTTGCTGCAGCCGAACGGATTTAAATAAAGATTGTCGAATGATCTCATTTACTGTATTATTTAATCTCTCTATGCAGATCTTAAAAGGGGGTTTTAATGAACAGTGTTCTGCTCAATCAGTCCTGGCAGTGGTATTTGCATATTTATTGTGTAATCTTGACCTTTCTCCCTGAAAATGAAATGGAAATTTAGAAAAAAGTATCTTCCCCCCCAAACTAACACGGTTTCCGTGAAATGAATTCACAAAGTTGTTTTTGTGCATTGAACATTTTCATCCCATTCTGTGGCATTTCTCTCTCCTATTTGCTGCTCTTAACAGTTCTCTGCTATTCACCTTGAAGCTCTGAAATATATTAACAGGGACAAAAATTGATTTTTTTTCTGTCTACTGACTTCAAAATTCACAAATCTACCACAAGGTCTGACTGCTTTCAGCTGGCACTGTGGGGAACCATCTGAAAGGCCTTTTCTTTAACACCCCACTCCTTGGGCTTGGGGATGGGGAGCTGGAGGTCAATCTTATTGTGTGCAGAAATGAATACACTCCCAGAGCAGATGCCACTGCTGAGTACGCTCATTCAACTAATTCAAATATTTATTTCCAGCTGAATCTCAGTGTGAAAAAATGGGCCTGAAGCTGGCAATCTCCTTTTTTTTTTTCATGACTTTCATTGAATGTGTTGTATACAATCACACACTCCATGGACAGCCATTTTGAATTCAAACACCTTGTCCAGCATGTTGAAACAAATTGTGGACAAGTTTAAATGTACAATTTACTCCTTAACTGAATCATTTTTAAGTGGAGCAATCATATTCCCCCTAACTGTAAGGTTAATTAAGAACCAATCCGCTCATGGCTTCAGCATCAGAGATCCATTTAGGAAGTGATGCTACAATGAATGTGCTGTCTCTTTACAGATTAAAAGGTAGCAGTAATAGCCTTCATCTACACATTTTCTTTCATCACCTGGTAAGATGGCAGCTGCGTTGGACTCGCACGCTCTTTCCACGTGGCCTCAGCAAATCCGAGGACTGAGACTGCTGCCTTATGGTGGATCTGAGACTTTTGAAAGGCCTCATCAAGCATTTATAAAGGCCTGAAAAGCCACTGCTGAGACCGAGAGGGCTTGCAGGAGCCACAGTGCATTGAGCAGAGCCGCTTGTCTTAACTCATTCCAAAATGTCAAGGTCTTAGTAAAGTCTTCAGTGGGAGTGAATTGTGCCTTTAAACTCACAGAAATGCTCAGCTGTTGGTTTTATTTTTGCTTTTGAGACAGTTTCTTAACCTCCACTAAGTTGCCGTTGGGTATATTTCTCTTCTGAATAATCGTATTCAGTCTAACAGAAATCAAGAAGAACTTTGAAATGCTTGTGCTGGTACCCCCTCAAAGGTTATCAATACCAGTCAGTACCGACAGTTTATATGACAGCATCTTTTCATTGTATTAAGCGAAGCGCCGTATTCCAGTTAACCCTCCTTCAGTAGATCTGACCAGACAGGCAGTGCCTCTGCCTCTAAGCTCAGGTGTTGCTGTGCTGATTGCCTCTTGTCTGCCTCACGAACCGAGAGACAGAAGAGCAGTAATAATGGAAGGTGTAGGCACTGAACAGCACTCCTGCCTCCATTAAGTGTGTGGGTTCAGTACCAACAGGTTTTTAAATGTTTGGCATGTTGGCAGAATCACTTTAGGTTGATTTATTATTAAGTAAATTACCAATATTGCATATTTTATTAAAATAATTGTCATTTCAGATGACCAATGGCTCTCACATAGCTTCCACTATGATCTTAAAATTCATCATATGACCTTCATGAGATTATAATGTTTGGGGCCTCTCACCAGTCTGCAGAATTAGTCATACCCCTTGAGATAAGTGTTGGAATGCTAAAAAGCCCAAACAAGCACATCCTGTTGAATTTGACTCCATACAAGTATTAGATAAACCCAAATAAAGCAAGCATGTACAATTTGTTTTTTAATGGCCGTCTGTGTATCTGTTTTATCATGTTAGCAAATTATCCTAGCTCATCCAATATTTTGTGTGTGTGTGTGTCTTTATTGCAGACAGCGATAGTGAAATCTCCAGTGGAACTGGAGATGTTTCCAAGGATTGTCCTGAGAAAATACTGGAGTCCTGGGGAGGTATCCTGAACAGATGGTATGCCATTAAACGCAAAAAGATGGACTCATTAATCAATTAGTTGTTTGAATGAATTGGGGAAAGAAAGTACGAGAGGATAATGTAAACTACTGAGAAATTCAGCACAGTTAAATGACTGTGCAGGGAACATGCAGTTTATGCACACATAATTGAGATAGTGTTTAATTACTAAACTAAATTCACACATTTTTGTTTAAAAATAAGTATATCAAAATATCATGCATAATTTTGGTCTAATTTGTTTATGGCCATTGTAGAAGAGTTTATGCTCTTCAACTTTGTGATTGGTGTGTTATTATCTCTGTCTGCATGTTAAAGTTAAGGTTGATGTTCTACAGTTGCATGAGTGAAATATTGTCTGGAAATACTGCAGCACAGAGCCTAAGCAGCTAATTTAAGTGGTAAAGATATTTAAAGCATCTTATTCGAGATCACACTGTTTTCTTGATGTTGCATCAGCACAATGATGTGAAGTTTATTGGTAAATTGCTTTCATATGGCCTCCATAACTGTGTCATGATGAGATTTCAAGCATCATTAAATGGGCGCTGACTTTGTGTTTTTTTTTCTTTCTTTTTCTTTATCTCATATGAGAGCACAGCACTTCTAATGATATTCCAGAGTACAGAATGGGATAAACACTGTTTTCGGTAAAGCTTACACTGACACTGGTGTTCAATAAGATGAGTAATGTTATCGTAAATCAATCCTGAAAAATGCAGTGACCTGTACCCAGAATTATAATTTGCAGATTAATTGTAGTGCATTTTAGTCCGGAAGGTTACTGAGAAATGTAGAGGAACGAAAACAGCTGCTGGGGAGAACCCAGTGGTGTGTTTACACCCGTTCGAAAGGGCGTGATTAGTCCGCCCTTGTCAGAAGAATAAGAACAAATCCATCATGGTCACACCAAAAGAAAAATACTTCATTGTTAAATCTAAACAGTTGCACTTTAGGTTAAGTCCTTTTGTTGTCTGTTTGTGTTGTTTGTGTGTTTTTTTTAGGCACGGGAACCTGTCCACCCGTCCCAAGGGTTTGCCTCCATTGGTTCGCAGTGGCATTCCCGAGCCACTCAGAGCCGAAGTCTGGCAGCTGCTGGCTGGTTGCCAAGACAACCATGATCTTCTTGAGCAATATCGCATCCTCATCACTAAGGTAAAAAGCCCACACTCACAAAACCGGAGGGACAGCCACTTAGAATAAGTTGGATTTTTTATTAAAATGTCATAGAAGGCTTGTCGGCGACATCGAACAGCTGCTTATCGCATTGGTATATTTCCAAAACACGAAAAGATTTGTTTATTGTGTCCTCATCTCAGGGATTGCATGGCAACACGCTGCTGTTGGTGTCCATTGGAGCTCTCAACATTGGCCTTGTTGTTATGAAGAAGTGATTTGTACAGTGATGGGTATAGTTTTTCCGATGTTGACACAACATGTTTTGAGGTAGTTGTTTTACAATTTTGCTTGTTTTTTTCATGAAAATAGTATTCGTGAACATGCTGATTGTTGCATGGTATTCCTTTACTGTATGTCCATCTTCGGTGTCATGCCTGCGACTTTTAGAGGAAAGCAGTGTAGCTGGGTAAAATATCATGTTACTGGCAAGAGTGACAGTGTTTTCCTCTTGTGTGTGTACTCTAGTATGGCTGTCTCAATTGGGTGCCAGGTCATAGATTAAATGAGTGCTGCATTATTCTGCAGTATTTTAGTTTACATTTTAAACTTAAAACCACTCTGCCCGCCCCTAAAAACAAAACACAGGTATAAGCTACTTAAAAACAGGCCGGGTTTATGAAGATCAGAGTTTGAAAATTGGAAAGAATATGATGAAAACTGTCTGAAGTGTCATTCAGAATACACACTTGAATTTAGACTGCATCTCCAAATGTTTTATGAATTGGTTTCCATGACATATTTAATCAAAATAAAAATTATTCCAATCACGCGGGGAAGCCTCTGAATGATATGATTTAGGCTTATCTGCATTTCACGCCACAATAGCTGAAACTATAGACTTTTTCTTTTCCCCTCTACACAAATACACATGTACCAGTCAAAGCCATTATAGATACATTTACGAGCACAGCCAGCCTCGTGCAAGGATAATTATACTCTCCCACTGAAGGAGAGACACAACCACCCTAGTAATTGCTTAGATAGAGTGGTAGATAGCTGTCTTGCTGATATAAGATAGTTTTATTTTTTTCGTTATTTCAAGGAGATGCAGCTGATCGTGGTGGAGTTGGGAAGAGATGTTTATAGCTGTGCTAAACAGACTTTTTCTCCAAATTCAAATGTTCATATGATGAATAGAAAAAAAACTGCAAAAGAAGTCAATAAGAAAAGAAAGCTGTTGAGAAAATCCAGAGAAAGAAACTGTTTTAAAATACACAGTGTGCAAGCTGGAAAAATATTGGGCATTGTGCTCTTATTAATCATGAATTAGTTCTGTTTTAAGGCACATCGGTTATACTAAAATACTTAAGCTTGAGCACATGCAAGAAGCTGTGATCTAGTAGAATTATTAGAGTAATAAATTAGGAATGCTTTGAGAACTTTGTTTAACTGTTTGTGAATCCACAGGCAACACTTCAGGGACAAGTGTAAGAAGAGCTTATGACATTATGTTTTCACTACTACTGGTACAGTCTGAGGGCGGCAGGGTGGTGTGCTAGTTACCACCATCACTTCACAGAGGGTTCCAGGTTCAAATCGCTGCTTGGGGTGCTTTTGATGTGGAGTTTGCATTCTCTCCCCACGTTTGTGCGGGTACCTTTCAGTACCCTGGCATGTTTTGTAAATTGGTGACTCTGAATTGCCTATAGGAGTGGTGTGTGGTTGTCTGTCTCATTGGTCTCTGTGTGGTGCTGTGATGGACTGGCGACCCCTCAGGGTGTTCTCCGCTTCTCAACAAATGACAGCTGGGATAGGCAAAAACCAATATTAATGTAGCCGGTAACTAATATTCAGGGCAGTGTTGATGCAGTGGAGTATGCTAAACCGAACCGTATGTGCCATCTTTTGTTTTGCCTGACACTTCTTCCCTGCCTTGCTTGTGGGAGCCCTGATTCTTTGTGTGTTTTCCTTCCCCCCAACCCCTCTTCCTTTTGTCCTTCACTCTTATTCTTGTTACATAAGACCGGGGCTCTGTATTTGAGCTAATTTTTTCTCATTCTGCTATCTTTGCCATGCCCACAGCTTCTGTCTTGCCGGAGTGGTGATGGTATTGAAAGGTGGTAGGAGGAGCTATTAATAGCCACACCAAATGAATGGAACTGAGGGAAGATGGAGTAGGAAGGGCAAAATGGAAGAGAGACAAATGATAACGGTGAGGACAGTGTGGAGCTGATTAATGTCTCTCTTCTGGGCTTGGTGGCAATACTAATGCTGACTGAATTCTAAGTAAATGTATTTGCAGTTGTAATTCAGCTTCATGTATGGCCATGAATTCTATCCCTAGTATACTGAGACTTTCACTACCCATGTGAAAATGACAGACATAATGAGCATTACCACGTAGAGCAAAGCTGGCTAGTTTTATATAGAAGATCGAAAGTGTCATGTTAATGTTGTACTGCTCTCATTGTCAGTCATCACACATGGAGTAACAAATACTCATTCTGTCATACACAGCCTGGCCTTGGGGCATCTGAGACATTTGCTACCGAAGCTGTTTCTGCACTGGTGCAACACTGTTCGGGGTAGGGGTTTTACGGGAGGGTGGGTGAGTTTAGTGACATTTCAACAACCTTTGTGTGTCCCCAGAGCCGAACAAGCTCAAGGTATGCCGCCACGCTTGAACTCACAGCTTAAAAAAAGCCCAGCCAGCTATTTCCAGGCCCTCGTTTCCAAAAACCAATCTTGCTTAGAGCACAGACCGTGGGTTAACAGAGGTCAGGATCTCTCTTCATGTTTGACGATTGCGACCAGCGGCCTGGAACAGCAGTTTCCCCACACCAGGCAGTGGGGATACTTAAACTTTAACCAAAGGCCCTCTAATTTCCCTTAATTGGAAACAAAAATTGTTTACAATAATTCTCCATTTTTTTGTAATGTACACAGGGAAAAATATGCACCATTAAAAAATGATAAGGAAATGTGTGTTAGTGGATTCTTTATGTTGAGCGATTTTATTACCTGTAATTTTTCTGGTGCCATAGAGCTCATGGAATAAAGCTCTTTCCAAAGAAGGGGAAGATGTGTACGCACAGAGTTAAAAAAATTATTGCCGCACAACTTTTTTAGTGGTAGGAAACAGTCTTGGAAAGTGTCTTTTTCAGATGGCAAAAAGGAAGAAGAAGTTAATAAATACTTTAACAAGCCACAGCCATTTGTAACAATAACATTATATTTTATTTATTACATATACAAAGACATTGGCACACTTTCTAAATATTGTTTTTTCCTTTCATATTTCCACATTTATTCTTAGATAATATGAACGTTTATATATGACCTTTTTATTCCGTGTCACCAACTAACACGCTCTCCATCTGTCCATCTTTCCTGGGGCCTCCAAAGATTAGAAGAAACCTATAAAATTCTCTTCAAATGCAGTGAAGACCTGTAAGGTGCTTTGCATCTCGTCTATGAATCATTTTCAGGCCAGTCACCAGCTCAGTGATGACATTTAATGTTGTTCAATCAAACACAGCATCAGCAATGCAGCCCGGCTGGAATAATGCTACACCCACGCCTGATAACCCACATACAGATACATGGAGTACAATGTACATAAGATAGGCTGCCATGGTAACTGCAAGGTCTACTTTTCTCAAAGTTCTCTCCTTTTGAATTCACAGAGTCCTTTCACTTTGTTGTCAACATTCGGCTTTTGTTGCTTAAGTACTCCATATTTGATTAACTGAAACCTGGAAGGGTGGACAGCTACTTGTGAATGCTTTGCCATCTGGCAGCCACTGCTGTCATCTCTGTATAAAATGAGTTTGTGATATTGACTTTTTTTTTTCTCCATCGTTTTTTATGGTGCTCTTTAACGGTGCATAATAATAACATGTAAGCATTTAGTCAATAACAAATGTATTTAGTCAAATCAAAGTTGCAACCTTTGTATTGATTTTTTTTTAAGAATAGTTGCCATGATATTTTTTTAGTTCTTGTGCAGTTGGAATGGGCTCGCACCCCCCTGCAACCCTGAATTCTATTACATGAGCACAAAAAGTGGATGGATGGACTATAGATACTCAAACAAACATTTCTTTCAATTAATGTGGTTTGAAGGATAGGCATTTTGACAAGTTGTTCATGCTTGAGGCGAAAATGCAGATTTGTTGTATGCACGTTGTGCACCGCGCTCATAAGTAAATATTTATGCTCTCCCTTCAGTCTACCTTGCTGCTTTACTGAGGTCTCATCATTTATGGATGAAAAAAAAAACAATCCTGTTGAAAGTGTAGTCTTGTCCATCAAAGTCGGGCACTCCTCTTTACACACTGCCATCCTCATCCCTGTATCTGAGGGGACCAGCTGCACTGCATGTCCGCAGCTACGCAATACCACCTCCATTCTCCCCTCCTTACAATGTGGGTCTATTCACAGCACACCCGCCCTTCTTGTGACTGCATGATTCTCCACAATGCCTCTGCTGCAGCTCCCATTCACATACAGTACGCACAGAAACAAACCAGTAGGTTCCCAAAAAACTCCCCTTCATTCATTCAGTTTTTCGAATTTTTTTACTGCAGGAATATTTAGAAGAGAAATGTTTGTTTCACCCAAAGCAACTTACAATGCAGATACAACGTCGTAGTATTTATGATGGGTTTTTTATTTATTTAAAAAAGGAAGTTATATATACTGACAATGAGATCAATTTTGTTTGACTTTGATTGATATATGGTTATATTGAGAGCTGTAATCAAAAGCTCTTATGGTTTCAGTAGTTATTTTGAATGTATTTCAATTTTTAAATTCCATGTAGACAGAAATAAGCACAGAGTTAATAACTGCATTTAGTTATAGCTGTAAATGTAATGTCTTACAGTAGTAAATGCCTCCACTGGGTGTGTTTTAGCTTAGCCTCTTAGCCATACTGACACTGATATGACAGCTTGGATTAAGAAGATCCAGCCTCCAGCAGTTTCCCTGGTCACAACACTTCTGTGTCTCAGTTGTCATATTGCCTTCAGTCTCAACGCTGGAGCAATGTTAAAGTAAAGTTATTATTATTGCACTTCTTCTGTTTCTCTGTTACTGCAGAGCCTCTAGGTTTTTAAAAGGCAGTCCGTTACATTTGAGTGGACTGAAACGGCACTATTAATATATTTATCTAGCTGATGAATTTATTTGCAGCTTGTTTGGACCTGGAAGGGTATAAAGTCTTTTTATTTTCTTGCTTTTTTTGTTCTTTACTCCAGTAGACAGAGTGAATTACCCGCAGAAACTGACACTGTATAGCTATACAAGGCTTGATATAACTTGAATACTGTCCATATTTCCAGTGCACTCCTGCAAAAAAAACATTATTTTAATCATGTCCTCTCCATGCGAGTACACTCAGGATCCCCTACCGTAGCAGCTCTTCCTCTGTGCTTCCCATTTGGTGCGCTGCCACATAACAGGCATATTTGTGAAATGAATGAGGCGAGATTACTGACAGAGGATGCGAAATAACCACAGCTATACAACTCACTGTCTTGTCATTTAATATGGTCAGAAAAATCAATCCACAAATGGTTAAACTGATTAAACCTTTTTATTTGTAGTTACATAATGCAAACATCTAAAACATGGTGGGCAAAGGCTTTTCAACATTAAAATTTAGCAACACTGATATTTTCAAACCCAAAACGTTTCTGGCTTTACTGCTGCGTTTAATACATAATATCAATCACAGACTCTGTGATCAGGTGCAGTTTTCATCACAACTCTTCCTCTTAATAGTTTTTATGGTTCAAGATAAATAGGTTTACTGCATGCCAAAAATCATACAAAAAAAAAAGAAAATCAATTGTGGACTGATGTACAACTATCAGTTGTTTACTCCAAAGCTTTCAAATGCACGTTATGTTCTGACCTACATGGCACGATGACAATGGCAGCTACAGAATTAAGATAAAAGTCTCTCTGCCCGGCTGGTCAGAGAAGTCTTTCTGCGCCTTGTGGGGTAAGATGAAATGAAGATGATAAATGATGATTTCAGTGGGCAGCCCGTTTTTGACCTTTAAGTTCCTCGTTCCCGTTCAGCTGCAGCTGTGCCAGTGAAAAGGGTAAACTTGATAACGCTGAGCTGGAGGTGTGAGTTGTGATCATTTTTTTTAATGCCAGTATAGTCACTACAAATTGTCGACATGTGAAACTGCTACTCTACACACTGTCGCTTTTATTGTCAGACGTTATTCTGTTGTATAAGCCTTACAACCATTACACTGAAAAAAGAAAAATCTTTTGTTTTGTTTTGTTTTTTGGCCTTTTTGAAAAAAAAACCTTTGCCTTGTTATGCCACCAGTACCACAGTATATGTGTTTGCTATCTCAGTTGACGGGCAAATAAGCCCGGGGTCTGATATCTATTACGTTGACAATGTTTTAGCAGCATGTGATCCTAACTGTACCATTTAGCTTCTCTTGGCAGTGTCTTTGAACAAGAGGATGAATATGGGGCTTCATTATTTGCTGTGACCTGACTAACCCTCAAACCAAAGACCTTTTAATGTGGGTGTAAACTCCCCGTATATGCCATCACATTGCTGTTGAAACTGAAATCCACTGGAGACCAGGGGTGGAGGAGGATGGGATGCTGAGAAGCAGTGAATGGTGAATCAGCCTCCACCTTTGTTTCCAAGTGGCCCCGCTGGCTTTGTTTTGGAGCAAAATGAATTATTAACGGTGGCCTTCTGGTCATGTTTTTCATCAGTGTGTCCACCACAAAGGTAAAGAGCCCTGTGCTGAGAGATCTCCATTGATGGGCTCCATTCATAGTGACAGCACCTGAACTGTTTTAAGTCTTTACTTTGTGCCGTATTTATAGTTTTCCTGAGTGTCTCCTTACAGTGAACATTGTCTAATTTAGACTGAGGCGCTACCATACATGGAAACTTAAGATTTCTGTCTTCAAAAAATATTTTATCACTTTTGATTATTCTGTCTCATACGTTTCATGACTTTGTATTATTTCTAATCTAAAAAGCCTTATTATTATGAATTGCCTTTTATACAGAGAGTTTATAGGTGAGTAAATCGTCATCTCAACACTTAATGCTTTACATAATTTATTGTATATCTGTTGACGGATACATGAATCAAATCTAAAAGTTGTTAAATTGAATCCAGCATATCTGTGAATTAGCTGAATGCAATGGCAGAGAGGATTAAGGATGGCAATCATTAACATATTATAGATAGTCTGTTCAAGAAAAAAAACAAAGAACCAGAACCAGATGTATTATGGAGGTTTTCTAAACTGAAGCATACTTTGCTCACTATCTTGATATATTTGATTAATCTTTGACTTTTTATCACAATGTGTAAACTACACAAAACCATTTTAGTCCTAGTCAGCCACTCCGAATTTTACAAATTTTTTGGGGTTTGTTCTTTCTTTTTGTTAGGCTAATCACTACAAATTGTTTTGCATGATTGGGCTGCGCACTTCTTGATACTTAAATAGGTTTCCATCAGACCGTCTGCTTAGCCAATTTGCTGTCACTTGATCCTTTTTATCATCTGTCGGCCAGAGGATGCTCCCAACTGGCTGCAATACCTGGCAACTGTAACCAAGGGACAGACATGGCTGTGCTAAGCTGTTGGTTGAAAAAAGGAATAAAGTTACTAAAAAAAGTCTGGCTTGAATTTCACAATAATTAATAAGGAAATTAGGCATCCTTGGGATTTATTTCCATCTTCCTCATAATATATATATTTTTGGCTCCACATAGATTTTTATTTCCATCCACAATGGGTAAGGAAAGGACTCAAATTGAAGGAAAAAGAGGTGTGGCGAGATGGGGCGTTTAGGGGTGGGTTAATAGAAAAAAGGCTTTGGGAGATAAGTGATATGTAAATAGGAAATGTATCCAAATTTACCTCTGGGGGAAAATCCAGTCTGAGACAGGATAATGTGGCAGGGAGCCTCAGGTGCAGCCTTGAGAGAAAGAGGCTGGGCGATCATCACGAAAGGAGGAGGGCTCATGAGTGAGTGTGTGTGTGGGGGGAAAGAGAGAGAGAGACTTGAGTGTGCAACCTAGAGAGATTGTGTGGTGAGGAAGGGAGGGAGGGAAGTGTAAGCCAGTCACAGCATCTCTCCTCACTGCACCAGGACTGAGGGACTCTTCGTCCCCTCGCTGCAGATTTAACTCATTTCCATCAGCGCAACCATCTTTTTTTTTTCTTCCTCACTTGCTGCTTTGGACACATGCATTGCTTTCACCTCTGTCCCGTACCAGGATTTAAGGATTTATTTACCAAAAAAACACAAAAAACATGTATTTTCCTGGCTGCCTGAGGTAGACGGGGATATTTGCAGAGGACTGTGTTTAAAACTGGGACTCGACTGGGACTTGGTCTTTTCTTTATGCTTCTAGAGTGGATTCCTTTTGTTTCGTTGTCAGTGTTTCATTCTAAAGGAATGACCTACTAAGAGAGGACTTAAAGGCAAGGCTATGGTTTTCCCGTGCATTAACAACTTGAATGCACTCTAAAGGAAAAGTTATGCAATGTTTGATTGCATGAAGTACTTGAGGAGAAGGTATTAATCTGTGCCAAAAGCTGCCAGTGCTTAAAAAATGTCGCCATGAGAATGCAAGAAACATGTTTATGGGAAGAATAAGTGGATTGATGTTTTATCCCTAAACGCATTTCTGCAAGTGTCTGCGTCAGGATTGCCAAGGAGTCTAAGTGAGTGGAGCACTGAGTTAGTCAGCTGGCCTCACGCTGCTCCTGGAGAGTCCTTTCACCTGCCTGCAAGGGAGTCAGACATTCCACGCTTTAATCAGCTGCTGAATATTTTTGTTTGTCTTGTGCCACGTTCAGTCCAAAACACCAAGAGGCAACTTTTCTCATTTGGATCTAAATTTGGGATAATGTCGTCAGTGAAAGTCCGTCAGAATATTCGATATGCCTGGTTTTTGCCTTATTTTTCACCAGGATGTCTTGTCAACACATTTCCCCCCACCGCCATGTGTGTTGAGAGAGCTATGACATTATCTCCTGCGGAGATCCCCATGTTGTTCTAGGCTATGTCTGTGTTTTCATTCAGACAATAGCTGGGCATACATTGGTTCCGGACACTGACCAGAGGACCACCAAAATAAAGGGAAGCCTGCGGCCACACAGTAAAGACACCAACAACCATGACAAAGCGTAACTTTGGAATCTGCCCCCCCAAAAAATTTTAGAGATTGGGTATAATTGCAAACCTACGAAGACTCTTTTGTGGATCTGCAAGTATATTTTTTTTAACCGTAGCAGCACTTGGGAAATCTATTTCTTCAATAAGTCTGAAAATGGAGCCATATGCTGTTTGATTTTCTCTGAGGATCTCTGAAGTGAAGGGAGCACTGTACTCTGCTTTATGCTTCAACTTTGTGTGGTTTTCACCCTCGCTTCTGCGTTCTCTGCCCTTGTGAGGACAGCTTAAATCCCCAGCCTCCTGGTGGCAACTCTCATTAAAATCATGTGACGAGGCCACAAACTGGGAGGCAAAGCAGCAGGGAAACTTGCCTTTGGGATAGATGCTGGCAGCCGAACTCATGCTACTTTGCTTTAGGTTTGCTAAAGGAATAACTTTTTTTTTTTCTTCGCTCCTGATTTATCCGCCCACAACTGTCACTAACCATGTGTGATTGGAGAAGAGAGCTGAACTGCTTGTCCTGTCCTCCCAGAGGCTGTATTGATTTTCCTCAAGTCAGTGTTCATTTGATTGAGACCCAGCTATGTGAGAGTATGGTGAGCAAAGGCACGAGTATGCTTGAGAGAATATTGAGCTGTGTGAACTAAAGGAGGCTGCAGACGCCTGGTGAGGAACCAAGAGGAGACAGGCACTTCTGTGGTTTCAGTCCAGCCTCTTTATGGATGACACACCAACAACCTGACTCCCCTTGTTAGCACCAAGAACAATGAATCAGTCTGAGCTGACAGCAGACCCCATGCTCACCACCAACAGCAGCCATGCAGACTTGTTTCCTGCCAGGGCATCCAACCACTCCTGTCCTTTGGGCTGGGGGTTGAAAGAAGGCTTGGAGGCTTGCATTCTCGAGACTGCTGTCATCGTACTCCTGACGGTGCTCATTATCGCGGGGAACCTGACGGTGATATTTGTGTTCCACTGTGCTCCTCTACTGCACCATTACACCACCAGCTACTTCATCCAGACCATGGCTTACGCTGACTTGCTGGTGGGTCTTAGCTGTCTGGTGCCCACTTTGTCTTTGCTCCATTACCCAGCAGGTGTTCAGGAACCGATCACATGCCAGGTTTTCAGCTACGTCATCTCTGTTCTGAAGAGTGTCTCAATGGCTTGCTTGGCCTGCATCAGTGTGGACCGTTACTTGGCCATAACGAAACCACTTTCGTACAACCAGCTGGTCACACCCTGTCGGCTGCGAGGCTGCATCGCCCTCATTTGGGTCTACTCAAGCCTGGTTTTCTTACCCTCCTTCTTTGGTTGGGGTAAGCCAGGATATCACGGGGATATATTTGAGTGGTGTGCTCACTCGTGGCCCACCTCTGCTCTCTTTACGGGCTTTGTGGTGTGCTTCCTTTATGCACCTGCTGCACTGGTGGTCTGTTTTACCTACTACCACATCTTTCGTATCTGTCAGCAACACAACAGGGAGATCAGTGAGCGAAGGGCGCGCTTCCCCAGCCAGGAGATGGAGACTGGTGAGGGGAACGGTGGTGGGCATCACGGAGGGCATGGACCAGATCGGCGCTATGCGATGGTACTATTCCGCATCACTAGCGTTTTCTACATGCTTTGGCTGCCCTACATAATCTACTTTCTACTCGAGAGCTCCCATGTGCTCAACAGTCCTGCCCTTTCCTTCATCACCACCTGGCTTGCCATTAGCAACAGCTTTTGCAACTGTGTCATCTACAGCTTGTCCAATAGCGTGTTTCGCCTGGGAATGCGCAGGCTATCACAGACTATGTGCTCCTTTAGCCATTGTGCTGCAGATGATAGGGATTTTGGGGAGCCTAAGCCGAGGAAGAGGGCCAACTCGTGTTCTATCTGAAGAAAGTACTTGCGCAGGATGAGGATACTACTGTAAACCTGAATGTGAGACCTGCATTTGCAAAAGTTTCACGGCTAGCACCAGTGACAATAAACTATTGGATTGCAAGTTTTCAGTGAGGTGGCAAGTTAATAGACAGTGGAATATAATGGGGGAGTGGGCTCTCTGAGACAATATTTCCTTTACGGTACTGCGTAGGCTTTCCCAGCCGTTGGGATACCATGTTATATGTTCAGTCAGGTCAGGCCTAGTGGGATGATAAAACTTTAAAAGATACACAAAATGATTTCTCAGACATCAAATGTTACCATGCTATTTCATGCTTCTTAAGCTTTTATTTATGGTTGTGAATTTAATCCACCTTTCTCTGGATGTCTCCTTAGATTTTGTGACTGTCATTTGAAAGTAAAATGTCATGTGCACTTAATTGTGCCAAAACCTTGTTTAAAGGTTAGAAGTGAATATTTATACTTTTTACACATTTAAACACGCACACGGTGACTATGACAACAGCTGCTGGGTTCAGATGGTTTTTATGGCATTGACTGTTTTTTTAATTTTATTTTTTATCCTTTTGAGAAAAGTGTGTTTTCCGTACTAGTATTTACATCACAGAAAAGAAATGCACAGGAATAATGTTAAGGGGTCTGCCTTTTTTTTTCCTACTGATATTGTTTTTTTCCAACCACTAATCTGACAGTTTATTTTGAATTAAAGGAGGTGTACATTCTTAACATGGCTTTACTATGAGTATTCTATTCAGTCTAATGCATTAATGCTGATGACACCCATGAGTAACTTGCAAAACAATGTTACCCATTTCTCCTTTTATTTGCTGGGCCACCATTACTGCACAGTGAGCTCACACAGAACTGGCTAAATGAACTGGCACTTACTAATTATGCATTTTTGTTATTGTATGAAATGCACCTTATGAGCCAGTGCATAAAATCCGACTTTTTGGCTTTGAATGATTTATTGTTCTACAGTGCGCCTCATAACTTTGAATAGACATGGAAAATGATAACTGTGCAGGGGCTGATTATGTAACCAGGTTTCAGTACTTCGGGTGACACAATAAACCCTGTTAAAGTTGGATTTCATTTCCAAGCAGCAGTGGCCAGAGACTCAGATTAACGTAATCTGATCCGTCTTGAAGCCACTGTGGGGTTAGAACTCTGCACGTCTGACATTACACAGTCGTCGTGTGATAACTATCAAGGCTATCAGAAGCTAATCTTGCCTTGGTTTGTTGACTTGCTGCTCAGACAATGCTCCTTTAATTTTTCTGTTTAATTTTGGCTTAAACCAATATTTTGATGTTGCACATGAAAGCTACATAGCGCTCCTGTTTTCACAGGGAAACCCTGTGTAACTGTAAAGCTGCAAGAAAACACACATAATAACATTCATAGGGCAGATATTATCTATTTCAGTGTGATTTGTGGACATAGCTGCTGTCAGAAAAGGTTTATGTGATAGAAAGAGAGTCCTCAGTTGATTGTCTTTTCTTTTTCTTATTTTTTTCTTTTGCTATGGATAATTAATTTTAATGTCCAAATTGATTGTAGTTTTTGTTTTTCTTTTCTGTACACTCCCAGCTTTGTTTCCCAGTCTGTGGTATTTGTTGCAAAAACGCAGATGTTGTTAACTACTGCCTTTGGTTATGTTTCCAAGCCTTTATTCCAGCACAGTGGTGCATTCATTACCTATAATCATACCCCGCCATGTTCTCTGGTAAAGACTTGGACCAGATGTACTCCTTTCTCCCAGTGTGTTGTTGCTTTGTAGTTTATACCTAGCCTCTATTGTACTGTATATTTGTCTATTCCAGAAAAACCAAGTGAAACAGCAAGTCAACACACTTGACACTGTAATAGTTCATTGTCAATTCTATGCTGCTGAACAGTATTTTTTGTGTTATTTCTTATTTTCAAGCTGCATCAAGTGTGTTTTAACCTCTAAGGGCACGAAAACTTTAGGCCTTATGGTACTTTTGTGATGTGTTAGCTATTCACACATCTAGATGAAACATTACTAAAATATGAGCATTAAAGTTAGGTCATCTTTACCACTTGATGAATGTAAGTACAAAATTGTTTTTAGATTTAAGATTTGGTAAACAAGCATGGACAGCAGAAACATGTTTTTATCAACGGGCTGTTCTGTCTTTATTGACTTCATACAGAGGCATTCTGCAGTTTTTCATAAGATGGAATGCCTCTTTTATTTGAATTTGACATGATATCGATTATATTACTTCCTAGGTGACACCATTTACCAGTATTAATTCATTTACCACTTACACAAAGTCACATGTCTGAAAAACAGCTGTGGAAAACAGCAGAGATGAGTGTTTGTTTCGGCCAACAGGCTTAAGCTCTGCTGAATATAATGGAGCTGGTTGTGTGTAGACGCAGAGAAACCTTTGCTGCTAGCAGCTTTAATGCATCACCGATTCATCTGTATTTGTGTGTAATGCTGAGTTTGGTTGGGGGAAAATAATAGCAAAGTCATTAACATGAAATGGAAAGGCTGCACGTTGGCATTATTTTTATGTTTTTTATAGACAAAAAGAAAATGGAAGGAAAAAAAAACATTTCTGCCATCTGCTTGTATAAATGTGCAACATGTGAAACAACCCAGTTGTTAACACTTAGGTCAGCAGTTTTTCCTGGCTGCAAATTTTCCTGACCGATCACACAAGCTCATTCTCGGATGCCAAGACAAAAGACACGGATTTAAAATGCAACAACAACAAAAAAAGTGCTCTGCCTCATTCTAACACCATTAAACATTTTTTCACTGTGTAGATTTTAGTTTCAAAATGTGCATTAGGACCAAAACTTTGTAAATGAGTCATGATAAAGCATAATGATAGTTTTCCTAAACAAACAGTAATATAGTTACGGGGTACAACATGTTTTCTTTTAAATCCGTAAATATTTCATTGGTTAAGTTATATTAATTTGATGATATTACAGCTGTGGACATTTGACCAAAGCATTTTTTGAAAATACATTAAGACTACAGATAGTTCATAGCTGTTCTACTGTACGCATCAAGCTATTTACCTCTCATGAATGCGATCGTCCCTGAAACAAAGAATCATTCAAGTAATTTACTGATCAGTCTGTCTAGCTTCTGTCTTCAAGTCGGTGCACGTCTACATCTGAGTGAGGGAAGGAGACAGCAGATTCATCCTAGCCTTTTAAATTCCCTGTAGCCATATTACTTGGCATACATATAGAATACCAGAGGCTAAAATGCTGCACAGCAAATACTGCACTTACGATACTTAGTTTAGTTCTATTTATTTATTTTCAAATCTTAATAGATTGTGTTTTTGGTGCAAAGTGCAGTCGGGTTGTAGGTGATATTAGTAGGATCTGTGCAGATCTTGACAATATAATATTCACAATGTGGTAAATAAAACAAAGCATAACACTGAAGAAGAAAAATATATATTATAGCGTAACTTAAAATAGTTCATTTGTTACAATAATATGAAAGTTGGTATATTCCAGCTTTTGTTGTCATAAATCACCAGATTGCAGTTGGATAAATATGAAATCCTTTGGTATATTTTTTGTGGCAAGTTAAACACTGTTAAATGTGTGTCTTGGCACAGGTTTATAAAATCCAGAAACCTCTGATATAGTATTCAAAAAAAGTATTTCCGTCTGTGTTGCACTGACCAAGCTGAAGCGGTAAGAAGTAAAAACTCTGTCTTGTGTCAGATGACTCCTGTTTTTGATTGGAAGTTTAGGGGACACTAGATATTTATTCATAAAGTTGTGTGTAAACCTTTACACAATATACTGTAAATGGATTACTGTATGTAATGTCTGTGTAACTGTTCTTAAACTGCTGTAAACTAGCCCCTCTCCCCAAAATAGAAAAATAAACCTGGCAAATTATAACGGGTATCGTGCACCCATTTGTTTTAAACCAAGCGCTGTAGGCTGCTGATGTTTTGAGTAGGAGGTGAGTGTCTTAAATACACTATCTATTTTTTTATTTTGAGATTATGTCAAATGCTACAATATTGGTGTTGCTGCCATCCTAATAAAGAGGAAAATAATAGATGTTCACGTTCTGTGGAGTTATTTTTGTGAACTTTATTTTTCCATACATTCACTGAAGAGATGGCCACTCATGAGCAGCTGATCTCTTCACATTCTCAAGTTTTTAAAGAAAAGATTAAAGCATTATAGACATGTTAGGTGATAGGCGAAGAGGACATGGGGGAAAAAACAAAATTGTGGGATGATTTCAAACACAAACAAGATTGGAATAGTTCAAGTTTGACAGCATCATAGGGTTTTTTATGTGATTTTAAGAGAAGAGCTGTGAAGATGAGAATTGGGATGTTTAAAAGGAGTCAGAGAGAGATGGGAAGATTATCATTGTCAGACCAAAAAGATGGAAGGAGCAAGAGAGAGAGAAAAAGTTTCTCCCCTTTTGTGTAGTTTGTGCGTTTTTTTTGTGCTTTGTTTTGTGTCCTTTGGCTTGTTGGTCTCCTGTCAGATTGAAGCCCTGATATTAATTTTGCTCAGTTTGCTGCAGATTGAAAGACTGTGACATTCAGTGTAGCAAAGAAAGGTTGTTTTGTAAGAAAAATCTTTACTCTTTAGTCTTTTCATTTGAAGTACTCATTTAAAAACAGTTCTGCATTCGTAGTTTCTTGTCTTGTTTTCCTGATGAACAAGAGACGCACATATCTGAAGGAATGTCTGTGTTTGTTCGTTCAACCAAAGGCATCGTTTTAACGCTTAACATTCAGTGAAACCGCAAATAGCAGCTCACAGTCCAAACCTGGCACAATATTCATGGCCGAGACTATATCAGGAATTCCCTTTCATTTCCACACATGGCGGCACTCGTCTCACTTCCTCTCTCTTTTTCCATCCTGCCACTTTCCTCCTTCCGTCCCGACTGAGAAAGGACCACCTGATCCTCTTTTGAGGTGGGGAAGTCATAATTGGAGAGGAAGCCAA